GGCTCACTGCAACCTCTGCCTCCTGGGTTCAAGCAATTGTCCTGCCTCAGCCTCCCGAGTAGCTGGGACTGTAGGCGTGCGCCACCATGTCCAGCTAATTTTTGTATTTTTAGTAGAGATGGGGTTTCACCATGTTGGCCAGGATGGTCTCAATCTCTTGACCTTATAATCCGCCTTCCTTGGCCTCCCAAAGTGCTGGGATTACAGGCTTGAGCCACCACACCTGGCCTCAGTTAGGGATTTATGTGCATCATTTTTTGAAATGTAGTGCCCAGGCTGCACATCTGGCAAAGGTCTGATGGGTGTTTGACTAGACAAGCAAGTGAATAGAAGAAAGAGGGCTCTGTTGAAAGGAAGGGGATAAATTTAACTCAATAAAATTTAAGACATCGAAAGCCTCATCTGCCCTATCTTCTATTGTTTACCCAGTGCATCAGGCCCATGAGGTGGGAGGAGGAAGTGGAGGCAAAACAACTGGGGTAGGCTTAGCTTTTTCACTCTGGAAACTGGGTGTTTGATTTAAATACCCAACATGGTACTAATTAGCTGTTAAAACACCAGTCATTCCCGAGCCCAATAGGTCTAAACACCTACTGTTCGTCTATTAAACTTCCAATCATCCTTTGTAACTTTTGTGAAGTCTGCTCTGACCTTGCCCACCAGCTCCTGAAGAGTCGGCCACTCTGTTACTACTTGACCGTGAACCTCTTTCTATCATTGCTACATATTGCATTTGGCCACCTTATAAGCTATGTTCCCTAAACTTGGATATATGTTTCTCTGGGGGATATATAACACTAAGTAAATATTATAATAATTTAATACTGTGATGTAAAATATTTTTATGTTAAAACAGCCATATTATGAAACAGGATCACAATAATAAAAGAGTTTTTAGGGCCAGGTGCGGTGGCCTCACACCTGTAATCCCAGCACATTGGAGGCTGAGGTGGGTGGACCATTTGATGTCAGGAGTTGGATACCAGACTGACAAACATGGTGAAATCCCTTCTCTAATAAGAACACAAAAAATTAGCTGGGCGTGGTGGCACATGCCTGTGATCCCAGCTACTTGGGAGGCTGAGGCAGGAGAATCACTAGAACCCGGGAGGTGGAGGTTGTAGTGGGCTGAGATCATGCCATTGCACTTCAGCCTGAGTGACAGAGCAAGACTCTGTCTCAAAAAAATAAAAAATTTTTAGAATTAAAGAGGACATATGAAAATAATGACAGCTAGTATTTATTGAACATTTACTATCTCCAAGACAGTGTGTTAAATGCTTTACATTATCTTGAACACTTTGCAAGCAGCAGACTTTTGAGTTCTTCCCAATGCCCCTAGGGGTGAGAGTTCTAGTTCTAGTGTTTGTGGCATTTGGGAAAAGTGGGAGAAGGGTTGTTTACTTGAGCTCTGCATTTCCAGCACCCAGTAGCTAGCCTGTACAAAGTTGAACCTCAGTAAAGGCCTGTGGAAAGAATGGACCCTGTTCTCTGCTGGAATGTCCTTTCTTTCCTCCCTCCCTCCCCACCTGGTGAACTCTTATTGGCCCTTCAATAACCTGTTTAAATGTCATCTCCACTGTGAAATCTGACTCTCAACTATTTTATCCGGCTGCCACTGCCTTTGGGCTCCCCTCAGAACCAGCAGTGGGTAACTAGGTTAACACTCTTTGTTTGTCATTGATATGGGGTCTCAGTCTGTTGCCCAAGCTGGAGTACAGTGGCATGACCATGACTAACTAACTGCAGCCTTGACCTCCCTAGGATCAGATAATCCTCCCACCTTAGCCTCCTCAGTAGCTGGGACTATAGGTGAAAACTACCATGCCCAGCTAATTTTTGCATTTTTTGTAGAGACAAGGTTTTGCCATGCTGCCCAGGATGGTCCCGAATTCTTGGGCTCAAGCTATCTGCCTATCTCAGCCTCCCAAAGTGCTAGGATTATAGTGTGAGCCACTGCACCCCGCCCACTCTTTATTTATTGGACTCCAATGTAAGGGGTTGGGCAGCTCCTTTAAGAATGGATCTTGGTCTGATTTCCCAGTATCTAGCAAAGAGCTTGATAAGAGAAGCCCTCAGTGTGCATTTGTTGAATGAGTGAAGTGATAAAGTTAGCTAATATTCAGAACTGATCATTAAAGGAGAAAGAAGTGATTCTGTGTTCTTTCTCTAGGTCCATTTTCTTAAATGAGTGATGGCCCCCTAAAAGATATGTCCATGTTCTAACACTTGGACCCTGTTACTATGACCTTATTTGAAAAACGGTATTTGCAGATGTAATGAAGAATCTCAAGATGAAATCTAAATTATCTGGGTAGGCCCTAAATACAAAGACAATGTCTTTTTTTTTTTAAACAGATTCCTGGCCTGTCATCCAGGCTGGAGTGCAGTGGCACGATCTCGGCTCACTGCAACCTCCGCCTTCCGGGCTTAAGCAATTCTCCTTAGCTTGCCAAATAGCTGGGATTACAGGTGCCCACTATCATGCCTGGCTAATTTTTGTATTTTTAGTAGAGACGGGGTTTCACCATGTTGGCCAGGCTGGTCTCAAACTCCTGACCTTAAGTGACCCGCCCACCTCAGTCTCTCAGAGTGCTGGGATTACAGGCCTGAGCCACCGTGCCCCGCCTCCTTTTATAAAGACATTGTCTTTAGGCTGGGTGCAGTGGTTTATGCCTGTAATCCCAGCACTTTGGGAGGCCAAGGCGGGCACATCACCTGAGGTCAGGAGTTCGAGACCAGCCTGACCAACATGTAGAAACCCCGTCTTTAGTAAAGATACAAAATTAGCCAGGCATGGTGGCTCATGTCTGTAATCCCAGCTATTTGGGAGGCTGAGGCAGGAGAATTGCTTGAACCTGGGAGGCGAAGGTTGTGGTGGGCTGAGATCATGCCATTGCACTCCAGCCTGGGCAACAAGAGTGAAACTCCATCTCAAAAAAAAAAAAAAAAAAAAAAAAAAAAAAAAAAAAAAAAAAGAAAAAAGAAAGAAAAGAAAGAAGAAAGAGAAAACATAGGAATAAGAGAAGGCCATGTGATGACGAAAGCAGAGACTGAAGTTATGCAACCACTAGGTAAGAAACTAGAGCTATCAGGAGCTGGAACACGTAAGGAAGGATCTCTCCTAGAACCTTCTGATAGAGCACAGCCCTCCTGACACCTGGATTTCAGGATCCTGCACTCCTGAACAGTGAGAGAATTTCTGAGGTTTCAAGATACCCGGTTTGTGATAATGTTATAGCAGCCTCAGAAAACTAATACAGCTTAGAAACAGAAATGGGTTTTGTGTGAAATTCCCCCCCAGATCTTGGCACCACATGAGCTCAACCAGACAAGATTTGGGATTTCCCAGAGACTCCTTTCTCAACAAACACCTGACCACGCACCCCAGGCTTCAGCCATGAGGAACCACTCAATGTGTCAGAACAGGAGACAGTGTGACATCTTTGTGGTCCAGCTCTGAGAAAAGATCCAAGGTGTTTTTCAGGCTTCTAAACACCCTGGAAAGACAGTATGCTTACATTTTGTTTAAAAATTTAAAATGCAAGTATTACGTGCTAGGTCCTGTGTGGGCACTTTACATATGCTGATTTACTTTAATTCCTACAGTAACCCTGTTACTATTTTAAATCTGAGAAAGGGGAACTCACTTGCCCTGGGATACATAGCTCAAAGGTGGCAGAGCCAAGATTCCAGAGTGCCTGATTCCTATCGTGTCTGACTCTAAAACACTATGTTCTTTCTGCTATGTTCAGCCAGGTGGTGGAAAAATTCAGTCTAGGGGTAAAAAAAGGAAGATCAATATCCTGCAGAATGACTCATGCTATTTATTATAGAAGCAATTGCTGGAGATGCTATTATTGTGGATCGCAGAAGTCTTCATGGAAGAGTTGGCATTTGAGCTGGGCCTTCACTGCACAAAAACCATTTCCTGATTCTCTGTCAGGCACTGGGGATGCAGAGATGAACCAGACAAGGTCCCTTTGCTTGAGGAATTCACTGTGTGTGTGTGTGTGTGTGTGTGAAGGAGGGTGCTTGTGTGTGTTAAAAGACAATGTGGCCAGGCCCAGTGGCTTGTGCCTGTAATCCCAACACTTTGGGAGGCGGAGGCTAGAGCCGATCGCTTGAGCCTGGGAGTTTGAGACTAGCCTGGGAAATATGGCCAGACCCCATCTTTACAAAAAATTTAAAAATTACGAGCCTGGGAGTTTGAGACTAGCCTGGGAAATATGGCCAGACCCCATCTTTACAAAAAATTTAAAAATTAGCTGGTCGTTTCAATATGCCTGTATTCCCAGCTACTCAGGAGGCTGAGGCGTGAGGATCACTTGAGCCCAGGAGGTCGAGTCTGCAGCGATCCCTGATCGTGCCACCGCACTCCAGCCAGGGCAAAATAATGAGGTACCGTCAAAAAAAAAAAAAATAGAATAATCCAGATCATGGTAGAGTCAGGTTCCTAACTCAAGGTCCCAGAGAGGCTCAGAGAAGCCTTCTGGAAGAAGGGACTCCTGCCCCAGCTGAGACTGATGGATAAGAAAACATTAAGTCAGGAGGAGAAGAGTAGCAAAGGCTTTCTAGGAACAGCACAAGCAACCCATCCAAAGCGGTGAATCGGCGTCCTGGGTGCCTGGCACACCTTGTAGCTCAGCGTACTAGTTAGAGAAGTGCAGGAAGGGGCGTGTACTCGTGGGTTGGAGTTGGTCGTGGAAGAGCTGGTGGGACCGCCCGACGGTTCTCGGGTTCCAGTGCATCCTGCGTGGTGGCTCTCTGCTGAACCGTAAAGCATTCCTTTTCCATCCCTGCACGCCGATGAGAATGCCTCGGGAAAAGATTACACATGGGCCCGCCACGGCAGACAAGCGATTGCCACCCAGCCGGCTTCCAAGCGGATCTCCGCCCTCCACAGCCTGTTACCACGGCAACCAGTAAAGGCGGAAGTGGCTCAGAAGACTGATACTCCCTAATCAGGTGACTCTCCTTCCTCCCACACGTGACACCGGAGCTCAGGCGCGCGCTCTACCTAATCAAGACCCCACCCCTCTTTCCCTTTAGTGACAATTGACAACGACCTCGTGCAATGGCCCTTCCGGCTCCACTAGGACACTCTGCCCGTTGGTAGTGAATGAACCAATTAGACAGGGAAAAAAAGAAGCAACGCCCCAGGTTTCACTCTTGCTTGACAGACGCAATTGAGGCCATCCTCGAGTCCCTCCGCCCCCTAGTCCAGTCCGGCTGGCGATGGACAGACCTTCTACCCAATAGCACGTCCCTTTTTTTGCCGTTGGGTACCGCCCCCTTGAGAGCTAAGCCAATAAACGCACCGGGTCTCGGCGGGGTGGAGGGGTTGCACTGCGGTAATATGGCTCTTCCTTAGCCAGCTGCGGCGGCAGTGGCTGCGGCCAGTGTTGGGACGGAGCAGTCCTGCCTCTTGGGTGGCGGGTGTCTAGGCTGCAGGGGCTCGGCGGGTGGAGGGTAGGAGGTGGCGGCCGATGCCGGTGGAGCGCCCGCCCCGCCGTTTGGCGGACCCTGGATCAAGATGAGCGCCTCCGCGTCGGTCGGGGGCCCGGTGTCCCCGCCACCACCGGGCCCAGCCGCGGCGCTGCCTCCCGGTTCTGCCGCGCGGGCCCTGCATGTGGAGCTGCCGTCTCAGCAGGTAAGCCCGCGACTCGCGACGCTCGGGAGGGACCCTGGCAGGCCAGCGTGGAGAGTCTGCTGGCTCCGGGCTGACCCCGCGAGCTGGGACACCCAGAGCAAGGACCGGGAGGGCTCGCGGGACTGAGGAAGGCTGTCGGGAGATCGTGTGCGGGGAGGGGTCCAGTGATGGCCGAACCTCCGGGAGATCCCAGAGTCTTAGGAGAATCCCGTTAGAGGAGATGGGCTTGTGAGGAAACAAGCAGCCAGCCATCGAAAGTCCCTGGGGCCCCGGCCCGAGGCCGCTTTTCCCCACACTTAGAGCCGGGGATTCCCTTGAGCAGACCCTCCCCCTCGTCGTCCCCCCTGCAAGGGACCTGGGAAAGCCCCTGTGTCCCAAGGGCCATGGCGAAAGCACTTCCCTTTCCCCACCTGGCCATCCCCTCTTACGGAGAAACCAGTTTGTACTGTCGTGCGAGAGCCCTGGAAGAGACTTTGGGGTTTCTGCCATTTGCTTTATAATCTTCCCTGATGGTTAAGTGTTCAGCCTCTTTAGACAAATGTGTTTGAGACTTCCTAATTCTCCGAGTCCCAACGAACGCCTGTTAATAATGAGGAGGACTCTTTCCTACTTCATTCCCTCCAGGGAGTCTCTGTGGAAGGAGGATTTGATGTATATATTCATGTGTTCCCTCATACTTTGGGAAAGATGTTGGGGACTTCTTGGCTCTACCTTGCCGGGAGATAAGAAAGGGAAAGACTGATTTTGGGGATCTGACAAAACTCTTTGTTTCACTCACATATCTGTAGAGTACTTCCCTTTTTACATCCTTGGCCTTCCTTCTGTACCCCCAAGGGGAGATTTTGTGGGAATCTTAGCATTAAAGAGACCTAAAGAAAGTACCTTTTCCTCTCTCCGTTTATTCCTCCTTCAAAGAAGAGGAACTAGGAGAAA